AATGTTTTTAAAATGGTATAACTGCCTTAATTTTGCAGCAGCTAATGGTGATCCATAATAAATCCAAATACAAACAGCACCGTCTAGGGTAGCACCCTGGTTTAGCCAGAGGACAGCTATTATGCGTCCTCCTCTGGGTACATTGACTGAGGAGTATTTTTCTCCACTAATACAGGAGTAATAAAGGCCTAGTTCCCATATTTTGTGGCTTTTTTTATAGGCTATGTTGTAGCAACCTCATGATGGGCATAGGGCAAATTAAAGTATTTGAACTGGGTGAATGGAATATGAATGACAGTCATCCAATATTTTGTAATAGAAATAAGGTCATGCTAATTTTTTAAAAAGACAGTCCTCCCTAATCTTAAATGGCACCGACCGCCACTGATCTGAGGACATCAGAATGATGACAAAGGGGTGCCTACTAATTATTTGCCTTATTTAGCAATTACATCTTATTTTGAAGCAACTACAAAATCATCATTAGCCCTTTAAAACTAGTGGACTCCAAAGTTGGGAATCAGTGGCCGCTGAGAACGTTCATAACAATGGAGTGACTCGACCATGAAATCCATAAAAAGGTATCAATTTGATATTGAAGCAAAACCACACCCGACACTAAAGCAGAACCCACAGAGCTAGTTGTTTGAATCAGAGATCACGATTGTTTATATTTTGCAGCATGATTATTGAATTATGACTTATATCTTGATAATCAAAAGCAGCCAGAGCTTGAAAACTGTCATCTGATATGGAAAAAAATTGCCCTAACCGTAAGATACTACGATTGCTGCAGACAATATATGGAATACATACTCTGCGGTGCGCACAGTATATTCACATAACAAACACAGCATAACTCAGTACATATAGCCTACATAACAATGCACTGCCACTACATTTTCTGTATTGGTTACAATTGGTCTTTCTATACAATGTGTGTGAATGTAGGCCATATACAAAATACAATGTTGGGGAGGCTGCTTGTCTGATTGTGGGCTGGTCTGATCCCTTAATAGAGGTAATTTTCCGGAACGTGGATGTGACTTGGCTGGGCCGTAGAATTCCTCAGATTCCTCCAGGCTCGCTAGTGTGTCTTTGTTACTTTTTTGTGTGCGCTCGTGCGTGAGTACGTGTGTGTGAGGTGTTTGTGCATGTCCGTGTGTTTGTAATAACTGTCCGTGTGTGGAATGAGAGTTGGCAGGCTGCCATGTGAGTAGACACGGGTCTGTTTGTGCTCTCTGGGAACTGCAGGCTGTTCTGACAGCACCTCTAAAACATAAAGACTTCTATTCACACAGCCGAGAAGGGTGGCGCCGCACACACACTCTCGCAGACATGTTACACACACTAGCACACAAACTAAAACATGCTTTTTAACACTTATACACACACACACACTGCTGATATTCAAACAGACATATATTTACACCACTGGTGTACCACACCCCCCCACAGACCTTCTGGAGGAGGCCAACCCCCCCCCTCCCCCCCTCTCCACATAGCATATGAACAAGTCATAAGCCATGGCAAAAAATATTTATAATTACAGGATATGTGCTTTAAAACTGCAACATTTTCTCTCAGCCTCATTGCAAAATGTGTAGAATAGCAGGACATTAGCTTTAAAAATGCAAATTTTTCTCTAAGCCTCATGGCAAAAAGTGTAGAATAGCAAGAGAGTGTGCTGAGCAATTAACTGAAATGTCAGTTATTTTTCCGTTTTTAAACAGCTAATTGACAGACATTGATGGTTCAATCATTTGAATTCCATTTCGTTCAATGCACACATTTCACTGCAGTTTCTCAAGCGATAAATCAGATCATACCTGAACTGTGTGATGTAGTAGGGAGTTGTAGTTACCAACAGGCCAATGTTCTACATAGTTTAGTGCACAAAACGTGATAATTAACTACAATGGCCATAATCCATTGTGCTGCTACTTATCTGTTTCTTTTACGCCTGCTACGTAAGGGAATGCGGGATCAGTTTCTTTGAGGTATCTAAGTGATTGAAAGTTGGTATTCAGCAGTCATAAAATTATGCCTTATTTACTTTGAAGAACTACTAAAATAGTGATTTTGTCAGACAGCATAGGCAGCATGAGATGATGACTTGGAATTAAATAATAAAGTCATCAAATAAAACAAATGTAATATACACAAGAACTTAAATATTTGTATTAAAGTAAAGTAATATGAATAACTGATGGTTAATAAGTGATAAGCAGTCATGGGCAGTCACTACCATCATGGGACTTGTATTAATTGTTTTATTCTGTGTTACAGCATTTAACCCACATAATGCATAGTGCATTTAATGTAAAAAAAAAAGGTTTTATTTAAATCGAAAATTATGTATTAAACAATATATATACAGTTGAAGTCGGAAGTTTACATACACTTAGGTTGGAGTCATTAAAACTTGTTTTTCAACCACTCCACACATTTCTTGTTAGCAAACTATAGTTTTGGCAAGTCGGTTAGGACATCTACTTTCTGCATGACACAAGTAATTTTTCCAACAATTGTTTACAGACAGATTATTTCACTTATAATTCACTGTATCAAAATTCCAGTAGGTCAGAAGTTTACATACACTAAGTTGACTGTGCCTTTAAACAGCGTGGGAAATTCCAGAAAATGATTTTATGGCTTTAGAAGCTTCTGATAGGCTAATTTTACATTTTAGTCATTTAGCAGACGCTCTTATCCAGAGCGACTTACAGTTAGTGAGTGCATACATTTTCATACTGGCCCCCCAGTGGAAAACGAACCCACAACCCTGGCGTTGCAAGCGCCATGCTCTACCAACTGAGCTACAGGGGAGGTGTACCTGTGGATGTATCTCAAGGCCTACCTTCAAACTCAGTGCCTCTTTGCTTGACATCATGGGAAAATCAAAAGAAATCAGCCAAGACCTCAGAAAATAAATTGTAGACCTCCACAAGTCTGGTTCATCCTTGGAAGCAATTTCCAAACGCCTGAAGGTACCACGTTCATCTGTACAAACAATAGTACACAAGTATAAACACCATGGGACCACGCAGCCGTCATACTGCTCAGGAAGGAGAAGCGTTCTGTCTCCTAGAGATGAACGTACTTTGGTGCGAAAAGTGCAAATCAATCCCAGAACAATAGCAAAGGACCTTGTGAAGATGCTGGAGGAAACAGGTACAAAAGTATCTATATCCACCAGTAAAACAAGTCCTATATTGACATAACCTGAAAGGCCACTCAGCAAGGAAGAAGCCACTGCTCCAAAACCGCCATAAAAAAGCCACACTACGGTTTGCAACTGTACATGGGGACAAAGATCATACTTTTTGGAGAAATGTCCTCTGGTCTGATGAAACAAAAATAGAACTGTTTGGCCATAATGACAATCGTTATGTTTGGAGGATAAAGGGAGGACTTGCAAGCTGAAGAACACCATACCAACCATGAAGCACGGGGGTGGCAGCATCATGCTGTGGGGGTGCTTTGCTGCAGGAGGGACTGGTGCACTTCACAAAATAGATGGCATCATGAGGAAGGAACATTTTGTGGATATATTGAAGCAACATCTCAAGACATCAGCCAGGAAGTTAAAGCTTGGTCGCAAATGGGTCTTCCAAATGGACAATGACCCCAAGCATACTTCCAAAGTTGTGCCAAAATGGCTTAAGGACAACAAAGTCAAGGTATTGGAGTGGCCATCACAAAGCCCTGACCTCAATCCCATAGAAAATGTGTGGGCAGAACTGAAAAAGCGTGTGCGAGCAAGGAGGCCTACAAACCTGACTCAGTTACACCAGCTCTGTCAGGAGGAATGGGCCAAAATTCACCCAACTAATTGTGGGAAGCTTGTGGAAGGCTACCCGAAACGTTTGACCCAAGTTAAACAATTTAAAGGCAATGCTACCAAATACTAATTGAGTGTATGTAAACTTCTGACCCACTGGGAATGTGATGAAATAAATAAAAGCTTAAATAAATAATTTCTCTACTATTATTCTGACATTTCACATTCTTAAAATAAAGTGGTGATCCTAACTGACCTAAGACAGGGAATTTTTACTAGGATTAAATGTCAGGAATTGTGAAAAACTTAGTTTAAATGTATTTGGCTAAGGTGTATGCAAACTTCCGTCTTCAACTGTATATACCAAAACTGAACCAACCTCAAAAAGCACAAATCGCTCAGCACTACAAGAGATTAGCCATATAACTGCACATTTTTCTCTATGCCCCGTGGCAAAATGTGTAGAATTGCAGGAAATTTGCTTTAAAACAGCAACATTTTCTCTCAGCCTGATGGAAAAATGTGTAGAATAGCATGAGATTAGCTATAAAACTGCACATTCTTCTCTTTGCCCCATGGGGTGGGGCTCTTACGAGAGGGGCCGCCTGAAAGTGCAGTACGCCACTGATTTGCACACATACACACAGAACAATCTCAAATATATTCATATTTAGCCATGCACATGGCACTCTCAGATTCTTAATTCAAGTCATGTAAGACAGCACCAATCACACACCACTGCTCAAACATATATTCTTTAAGAATATAAACAATACAAAAACAATTCCCTGTCTTTCACTTCAGAACCTTTTTAATTATTCTGACACTCACTCCCTCAATCCACTTGAATCTCACTTATCTCCCCTCCTCTTGCCATTACAGAAAACTCATACCAACATAATCTAAATCTATCAAAGCCTGGACTGTTCAAATACACTGACAATGCATCCTTTCCTTCTTTCCTTCCTTGAAGGTTTTCACCTATCCAGTCATTGATCTGCCATGACTGGGTAGGTGAAAGCCATGAATAGTCTCTGTGTAAGTCTCAAATGGCACCCTATTCCCTATATAGTGCACACTACTTTCGAACAAAGCCCTATGGGCCCTGGTCAAAAGTAGTACACTAATGAATTGAGGGGAATCTGTCTCCGTCTCTCTTAAAATGAAAGAAATAGGTATTGATCACAGGAACTATCTCCCTCTCACTCTCTCTCAGAGATGGCGGGCGGTCCCTGTCTGCTCTGTGAGCGACCTCCCCGTGTGGCCACCGCCTTCCACTGCCGCCTGCATCACCCCCTCACCGTGCCCCGCCGCAGTCTGCTGGAGCTGCAGCCATTCAGCAGTGTGAGTGAATCGCTCATACACACACACACACACACACATATATCCACAGACCCTCAAACACGCATACATATGCCAACGCAGGCACACACTCACAAACACACATGCATGTGGTTACAGATACAACTCACTGGAGCCCCAGGCCTTCAGCTGTGTGAGTAGACACACGCTCCAATAAACTCATGCACGTGCACACACACGAACAGTATTATTACATCGGCAGATATTGGAACACCATCTATCCCTCCAAAAGCATGGAAAAAAATTGCCAAATATGACTAGGCTTAAATGGCTTATATTCTAGAAAAGGCAGTATCACTTGACCATTGACCTTTGTCTCCCTGTGTGACCCCTCCAGCCCTCGGACACGGAGCAGAGCCTCCAGAGGGGCCAGGGCTTCAACTCTAGCAGTGGCCGCTACATGGCTCCCGTCTCCGGGTTCTACCAACTCACCGCCAGCCTTCTCATAGGTGAGACTTCCACACCATCCCATACCAAAGTGTTAAATTATGGGGGTAAGGGGGTTTGCAGTACATTTGGGCTGAATTGATGCCCATACCACAAAAAGAGGGAGGGAGAGGAAGAGGTTCAAGAGGGAGGAGGACAGATAGATAGAAAATAGAGATGTAATGAGAGGAAGATAAGTGGTTAGACAAGGAAATTAGGAAGATAGGAGCTGGGGAGAGGCTAGGGAACGATAGAGAGGGGGATGGATAGACGGAGAGAGGAGAAATAAGGAAAACAATGGGAGACTATACAAAATAATGGTTTGTAGAATAACATCTCCACAATAGATCAAATACAAAGTCAACATTACAATAACTCCATAGCATTATACAGTATATATTTTCCTCTAAGTAGCTTTTCCCTCGTGAACTAGAAATATATATTACCTTCTTTTTTGCCTGCAAGAGGCCAAGTGGAGAAGTGAAGGTTGCAGCCAGCCATGCAAAAAAAAACGGTTTGAACTTTTTGGGTGTGTCATTGGCTTACACCAATCAGAAGTGGCCTAGGCACTGCCCTGGCCAATCAGTGTCAGATGTTGAGAAGATAAGGCCCGGCCAGTTCTGAGGAACAGGGGTGGGGTCTTTCCTCAGAAAGTCCACCCAAAGGGAAACCACCCCGCACCACCACTGCAATGTGTGTGCCTCTGTGCATGTGAAGTAAATGGTGTGTGTGTGTGTGTGTGTGTTCTCAGAGCCCAATGAGAGGTCACAAGCCAGGATGAAGGATAGTGTGAAGGCTTCCATCTGCATTGAGTCCCTATGCCAGAGCAATGTGTGAGTACTAGTACACACACACAAACACACACACGGCACACACGCACACACAAGTTGTATTCAATCATTGCCAGTTGTTCCCGCCTGTTTTTCCTGAGCTATGCCTCTGAATGTTCCAGGTCTCTGGAGTCGGTGACAGGGGTGGGTAGTTCAGGAGGAGTCTTCAGCATCTTACTGACAGGAACCCTTTACCTACAGGTAATATACTCTCTCAGACACAGGGTATTATTACACGTTCACGCACGCGCACACACAAACACAGTATAGAGTTACACGTGTATATGGCCACCCATTCACAACAATCTGATATCTGCACACACTCCTATCAACACTCTCATCTCCAGATAAAGACATATACTTTGACAATTATGTGCAATTACCTTGTTTGCCAGGAATGATACTGGCAGTCAGAGTGATAGATGAGCATAAACACTGCTCTTGGTGAAAGGATTGAGCGTAGAGTGCTGAGTGACTGATGGTCTTTAACCCTTTATGTTCTGGCTTGCAGGCGGGGGAGTATGTGTCCATTTTCGTCGACAACGGAACAGGCTCAGCACTCACAGTCCTCCAGGATACTTTGTTTTCCGGGATACTCCTGGGAGTGTGAAGACAGTAAAACAAATGATACACCCACATATACATAAGCACACACCCATAGACAGAAATGAACACATGCATTAAACCATGTACGTACACAGAGATGGGCAAAGATACATTCAAATGTATCTGTTACAAAATATAAAATACCCTGAAGACCAATGTATTGTAATAAACTACAAAATACTGGTGCCAACAAATGTATTTGATTAAAATACATGTATTTTGTATTTTCAAAATACAGAAAATACATTTACAAGTAGCCTCCTTAAATGAGTTATAAAACAGCCTGTGAACGTTGGCTAACACGCTATGAACAGTATCTATTGCCCAGACAGTTGGCACAGTTCATAGTGTTAGTCTTCAGAGCTTTGTGGCCGCTGCATTGGTGTCAGAAATGAGATACCATATATTACTCTGAGCCTTACATCATCAGAGGTGTAGGTGGATGCACAAAGGTGTTTGAAAGAAAGTAACTTGCCGAATGAGAGTGAGTGTAGTGATAGTGTGGCAATAGAAATCTAATTCACTGCATTATCCTCACTCTGGAAGTGTACTGTATCTTTGTGCATTAACTTTTTTTGCAAGCTCCTCCACCAACAACTCTCATTGCTGTACACGATAGTGGCATAAGACTTCTGATATGGGGCCACAAAATTATGAACCTCTATTTTTTTAAACGGTATAAAAGTATTTGTGTTTTGAAAATACAAAATACCATTCTCTGAAGTATATTTTTACACATTACATTTTCAGTCCTTTCAAATACAAATTACAACATACTCAAAAGTAATTGAAATACCTATCCAATCTCTGTGTGTACATACAGAAAGTATTTCTCAAAATTGTAGACTCTCTCTCACACACACACACACACAGCTATATGCCACTCTGGGCAGAGCAGAGAAGAAAGCCTCACACTGGTAACTGCGAGTGGGATGAGTGTGTCATTAGCAAACATCAACAGTATTCAGACCAGCCTCTGCAATTATCCATAACAGCATTGCTAAGACAACAGGGTCGTATTCACTAGTGCACACTGTAGCAAAACATTTTGCAAAGAAAATGAGTTTCTTATTGGACAACTTCAGATAGTTGTTTTCTTCCGTTTGGTTTCTACTGAATACGACCCAGGACATTTTGTTAACAACATCTTAAACCACCATTTTGTCTATATACGTAGATGTATTTTTCTAGTGCTACTTTCATTGTCGATGACTCGCTTTAACACGCTATTCAGAATATTTATTTTGCTTTTGGATTTGAAATGAATACGATATATAAAAAGTTGTGGATATTATTGCTTGTAATAAAACATTTTTTGCAATCCCAGTTAGGATATGCTCACTGGTGTTTGTTTGTTGTTTAAATATGGAATAATCTACAAATGTTCTATTTCCAATTTCAATTCCAAGTGTAATTATAGGCTAATTGCAGAGAACCTTAGATACTCATTCTTTCTCCTGTGCTTTTATTTCAGCGTTGTTTCAATGTAATTTGTCAACATATTGTGACGTGGAATCTACGTGGAAAATACATTGGATTTGAGGGTGAAGTTTCAACCACATGATTATGTCATCATGGTAACCAAATTTCAACATAGACAAACCCTGTATAAAATATGTTACATTTGTACCTTTAAAACAACATCAGATCTTCAACGTTATATCCACCATCAGAAAAACAAAATAATAGGCTGGGCAGCATCCACTGGCGTAGCGGAAACCCCTGCATCCCCTTAAGGGACATGTACACATCATCTCAAACCTATGTCAACATTTTATAAATGTTTGAAAAAACTATTTTATTTTACAGTAAATTCAAATCAAATTGTATTTGTCACCTGCTTCGTAAACAACAGGTGTAGACTAACAGTGAAATTCCCAACAATGCAGAGAGTAAAAAATTGAAATAATAGAAAAATAATAAGATGAGGAATAAGTAACGATAACTTGGCTATATACACGGGGTACCAGTAACGAGTCGATGTGCAGGGGTACGAGGTAATTGAGGTAGATATGTACACTACCATTCAAAAGTTGGGGGTCACTTAGAAATGTCCTTGTTTTCGAAAGAAAAGCAATTTTTTTTGTCCATTAAAATAACATCAAATTGATCAGAAATACAGTGTAGACATTGTTAATGTTGTAAATGGCTATTGTAGCTGGAAACGTCTGATTTTTTATGGAATATCTACAGAGGCCCATTATCAGCAACCATCAGTCCTGTGCTCCAATGGCACGTTGTGTTTGCTAATCCAAGTTTATCATTTTAAAAGGCTAATTTATCATTAGAAACCCCTTTTACAATTATGTTAGCACAGCTGAAAACTGTTGGTCTGATTAAAGAAGCAATAAAACTGGTCTTCTTGAGACTAGTTGAGTATCTGGAGCATCAGCAATTGTGGGTTCGATTACGGAATCAAAATGGCCAGAAACAAATAACTTTCTTCTGAAACTCAGTCTATTCTTGTTCTGAGAAATGAAGGCTATTCCATGCGAGAAATTGCCAAGAAACTGAAGATCTTGTACAACGCTGTGTACTACTTCCTTCACAGAACAGTGCCTTCTAGGCAGAGTTGCAAAGAAAAAGCCATATCTCAGACTGGCCAATAAAAATACAAGATTAAGATGGGCAAAAGAACACAGACACTGGACAGAGGAAGATTGGAAAAAAGTGTTATGGACAGACGAATCAAAGTATGAGGTGTTCGGATCACAAAGAAGAACATTTGTGAGACGCAGACCAATTGAAAAGATGCTGGAGGAGTGCTTGTTGCCATCTGTCAAGCATGGTTGAGGCAATGTGATGGTCTGGGGGTGTTTGGTGGTGGTAAAGTGGGAGATTTGTACAGGGTAAAAGGGATCTTGAAGAAGGAAGGCTATCACTCCATTTTGCAACGCCATGCCATACCCTGTGGATGGCGCTTGATTGGAGCCAATTTCCTCCTACAACAGGACAATGACCAAAAGCACAGCTCCAAACTATGCAAGAACTATTTAGGGAAGAAGCAGTCAGCTGGTGTTCTGTCTATAATGGAGTGGCCAACACAGTCACCGGATCTCAATCCTATTGAGCTGTTGTGGGAGCAGCTTGACCGTAAGAAGTGCCCATCAAGCCAATCCAATTTGTGGGAGGTGCTTCAGGAAGCATGGGGTGAAATCTCTTCAGATTACCTCAACAAATTGACAACTATAATGCCAAAGGTCTGCAAGGCTGTAATTGCTGCAAATGGAGGATTTGTTGACGAAAGCAAAGTTTGAAGGACACAATTATTATTTCAATTAAAAATCATTATTTCTAACCTTGTCAATGACTACATTTCTTATGCATTTTGCTATATTTCCAATTCAAACTCATTTCATGGATGTTTTCATGGAAAACAAGGACATTTCTAAGTGATCCCAAACTTTTGAACGGTAGTGTACAGATAACTAGGAATAAAGTGACTAGGCAACAGGATAGATAATAAACAGTAGCATCAGTGTATGTGATGAGTCAAAAGAGTTAGTGCAAAAAGGCTCAATTCAGATAGTCCGGGTAGCTATTTGGTTAACTATTGAACTATGTAGCAGTCTTATGGCTTGGGGATAGAAGCTGTTCAGGGTCCTGTTGGTTCCAGACATCGGTACCTGTGCGGTAGCAGAGAGAACAGTCTATGACTAGGGTGGCTGGAGTCTTTGACAATTTTGAGGGCCTTCCACTGACACCGCCTGGTATAGAGGTCCTGGATGGTAGGGAGCTCGGCCCCAGTGATGTACGGGGCTGTACGCACTACCCTCTGTAGCACTTTGCAGTTGGATGCCAAGCAGTTGCCATACCAAGCGGTGATGCAGCCAGTCATTATTCTCTCAATGGTGCAGCTGTTGAACTTTTTGAAGGTCCATGCCAAATCTTTTCAGCCTCCTGAGAGGCGTTGTCGTGGCCTTTTTCACGACTGTTTTGGTGTATGTGGACCATGATAATTCCTTAGTAATGTGGATACCAAGGAACTTGAAGCTCTCGACCCGCTCCACTACAGCTCCGTCGATGTGGAATGGGGGCGTGCTTGGCCCTCTTGTAGTCCACGATCAGCTCTTTTGTCTTGCAGACGTTAAGGGAGAGGTTGTTACCCTGGCACCAAACTGCCAGGTCACTGACCTCCTCCCTATAGTCTCATCGTCGTTGGTGATCAGGCCAACCACCACCTTGTTGTCAGCAAACTTAATGATGGTGTTGGTCATGCGTGGCCCCTCAGTCTTGGGTGAACAGGGAGTACAGAAGGGGACTAAGCACGCACCCCTGAGGGGCCCCTGTGTTGAGGGGATACGTGGTGCATGTGTTGTTGGCTACCCTCACCACCTGGGGGCGGCCCGTCAGGAATCCAGGATCCAGTTGCAGAGAGAGGTGTTCAGTCGTAGGTTCCTGAGCTTAGTGATGAGCTTGGAGGGCTCTATGGTGTTGAACACTGAGCTGTAGTCAATGAACAGCATTGTCACAAGGGGGTTCCTATTGTCCAGTGGGAAAGGGCAGTGTGGAGTGCAATAGAGATTGCGTCATCTGTGTATCTGTTGGGGCGGTATGCGAATTGGAGTGGATCCAAGATGTCTGGCATGATGGTGTTGATGTGAGCCATGACCTGCCTTTCAAAGCAGTCATTTAGGTAAGTTACTTTGGCATTCTTGGGCATAGAGAATATGGTGGTCTGCTTGAAACGTGGGTATTACAGACTGGGTCAGGGAGAGGTTGAAAATGTCAGTCAAGACATTTGTCAGTTCATTCTCTGAGTACAGTGAGGGAAAAAAGTATTTGATCCCCTGCTGATTTTGTACGTTTTCCCACTGACAAAGACATGATTAGTCTATCATTTTAATGGTAGATTTATTTGAACAGTGAGAGACAGATAAACAACAACAAAATCCAGAAAAACGCATGTCAAAAATGTTATGAATTGATTTGCATTTTAATGAGGGAAATACGTATTTGACCCCTCTGCAAAACATGACTTAGTACTTGGTGGCAAAACCC